AAATTGTGGCCACCTCAGCTTCCTATTGTGCTGTGAACTGCCCAAGGGGTCTCAAACTCATTACTCATTCTCAAAAAATAGGATTACCCTGCTTGGACCTACCACCTCCCTGGATAGCCCACAAAAACCTATGGATTGGCTTATTGGGGGACATGTGTGGGAGGACCCATGTCTTCAGTTAACATAGTGCTACTAAGTGAAAAATAAATTTAAGATTATCTAAACCACAAAAAGGAGGGATGAAAGGAGTGATTTATTTAGAAAAAGAAGTAGGAAGAGTATTGCACATTGTTCCCATAGATTTTCCTCCTAGGAAGGTTTCATTCAGCTTCAGCAGACCAGATTAGAGCCACACAGATGGATGGACATCGTAGGTCAGATATAACAGTCCAGCATGGTCTGCGCCATCCTATTTGTAACACTAGTCATGTTCAGTGTAGTGCTGACCCCAACATGAAGGGACTGACCTGCCCTTCTTACTGCTGCAGCTTTCCCCTGACATGCTATCCTGTACTGCAATCCCACTTTAAAGGCAATACTATAAATCAAGGACAATTCTGGCCTCATGACCATTAAAACCTGTTTTCTATTATTTGGGGCTTCTCTCACTGTGATTATACAGAGGCGAACAAGAACTCCTTGGCGTGATAGAGGAGTGACATGCTGCAGCTGTTGGGCACATGAGGTTCTCCACAAACAACGCCAGTCACAAGGTATGCATTGTTTCATTGGCCCCCAAGGGACCTACGCTCTTAGGTGCCAACAACATTTTTGAAAACTGAAACTCAGGCACATAAATAATTGAGATGTTTTTGAAAATGTTACCTGCAGCCTAGAGTGGAGTACTGTGTGCACTGCATAATCGTGTGTATGCATAGACAGACATATTTATCTACATTTTCCTTTATGAGCTGTAGAAATTTTAAACTCACCTACCTTCTGGTCTTTGAAAACTACTACATGGCCTTTTACTGTTCACTTAGGTGGTCACAAAGGGGAGGAGGGGGAAGCAGTAACAAGTAGAAATTATCTGTTCCCTACAACACTAAAACAAAAAACAAGTGAAGGTGGAGCTCTAAGAGAAATGCCTTTTTCTGGTACAGTTCTGTATGATTATTATGTTTTCTTCCTGATTCTGGTTACCTCCAGGGACAACATATTTCAGCACATTCACTATTGGGTAATCTCTGCACTCCTGACCTCCTAACAGCCAAGCAAGCTTCAGCATTTTTTCTTTATCAAGCCATAAAACAGTAAAGGAAAGAGGTACAAACATAACAATCGATTTTGTGCTTATTGTGGTTTTTACACTACTATGTAAGCCTGTTACTACTTTAAATAAGGTTGTTATGCTATAATACAAACTTAGCAAAGTCTGTAAACTGATTTCACCACTTCAGAGCATGCTTTTAATTAGGAAAAACAAACAAACAAACAAACAAACAACAAAAAAACCCCAAACACTAAAAGCACACTATGATGATATTTTCTTAAATTCATTTCAGGGTCATACCAGTATGAGCTTATGCTTATAGGTAACACTGCAATTCCCCTGGGAGGTCCAAAATACATGAACCTCTAAAAACTGACCACTCTGTTTTTGTAACAGGAGTTTGTAGTTTAATTTCAGGTGTTCACAACTTAAAACACTAGCTGTTTTTTGGGGTTTTTTTTTTGTGTACAAGTAGATGCTATGTATTTTGAAAATTATATTCATAAACAGACATACAAAGAATATTACACTATAAACATATTTTTGTCAGCAAGTATATCAGAAATGGATACAGTATATATGTTGCTACAGCATGATCTGTGTGAAATACCATTCAATATTATGTATAGTAGCAGAGCTCTCTTCTTAAACTCCCAACATCCGAATCACAAACGTTCCATCTTTAAATTACAAAACGGAGCAAAACCAACCAAACAAAAAAACCCAAACAAACACAACCCGAAACAAAACAAAAAACCAAATCAAACCAAAAGAATACCCAAAAAACCCTTTCAGTCAGCATCATGGTAAAAAGAAGTGAAACTTTACTAGAGCCAAAGGCACTTGTCTTGCGTGTTACGCCTAACCTCATGGCATTCAGACAGCACTGCCACGAAACCGCCGTGCGATGTCCTGCTCGTAGCGTGGGCAATATTTGTTGCTATAAGCCTTTCATGGCTACCAGAATACAACCAGATGTGAGCGTGTGTATAAAATCACTCAAGTCCCCGTTTGCAGCAGCACAGGGGACCAATCAGTATCGGCACCAGAACATCAAATCCCTGGCGAAACAGCTCCGTGTAGCCCAGGGGGTTCTATTTGCCGAGACCTAACCGATCTGCTCTCTTCTCCCCGAGGCGCCTGGACTTTCAGACGGACCCTGTTGCCATTTGCGGATTAGCTCAGACGCCGCTCACGACACGGCGAGTGCCGTGCACGCCGACGGAAACAAAAGAGCTTTAGCTCCGAGCCAGCCGCCCACCACCCACTCTGCGCGGAGACGGCCTCTCTAGAGCCGAAGGGACGGTGGCCCAGGAGAGGACGAGGAGTATCGGTCCCCACAGCCGCCGGTCACCCGGGGAGAGCAGCGGCGCCCCCGGTGCCGCCCTCACCTGCGGGTCCGCGCGCTCGCGGGGCGGGAGCCGCCAGCCGCCGCCCCGCCAGTCCCGGCCGCCGCGGCACACGGAGCCCAGCGGCGAGAGGAGCAGGTCCCGCCACGCCGCCATGCCCGCCGGGGCGGCGATCCTTGTCCCGCGGCGGCGGCGGCGGCGGCGGCGGCGGCGGGGTGGGCGGGCGGCGCCCTCGCGGGCGCGGCGGCTCCCGGGCCTCTGTCCTTTACCCCCGGCCTCTCAGCGAGCCATGTGCTTCGTTGTTTCTGTCCCCAGTATGTGAAGGTCTACGCTGCCACAAGGCAGCGACGACGCCTTCCTATGCGAGGCGGCCGAGTACCGGCTCTGCCTTCGCTGCCGCCCGCCGGGGAAGCACCGACGGCCGCGCCGACCACCCTCTCTGCAGCCCCCCGCGGACACGCTTCACCCCGGGCCCACCAGCGCTTTGCTTCCACCTTGCCAAGTTCTTCCTCACGTCGGGAAACCGGATCATAGGTATCCCGAACTCAGTATATGATTTTTGCCTATGGTTTGCCTGCATCTCAGCTCCCCCTCCTAATGCTTGAGTTTTGATCCTGTCATTTTTTAGGGTCCTGTAAAAGTAAATTTGTGGTACGAGTTACAGCACTCATGACAAATCTAAGAGGAAGGTCCAAGAGTAAATCAACAATTTTCTTGAATTGTGAACACTGGAATCATATGTAATCAAGATATTATTAAAGGCAAAAGGTGAAAAAAGAAACAGTAGCTGTATTACAGCTCATGGCAATGAACTCAAGCAGTGAACAAGAAAATAGGATATGACCAGTGTATTAATTAAAGTCTTCATAGAGTGGTGAAATTTGGATATAAACCCAAATTTTTGAACAGTTAAGTTCTTGATCTTCCTAGTCTTCTTCATATACCTTCTGTATAATTTCTTCCACACTGACAAAGAAAACTCAAAGACCACAGCCATCAAACCAAATCAAGTACCTGCAGCAATTATAGCTGGTCGTACCAAATGTGGACTGATAAAACAGGCATACACCATTCTCCCTTTATTCTGAGTTTTGTTCTGTTTCCATTCTTTTGTATTTTCTCCAACTTATCTCAAACCTCACTGTTCATTCAATCTCCAGTTTCTCTTATCCTTAACTAACCTTCTTCCTATGCCAGGCTCCAGTTCTTTGGTTTCTCAGCTCTGCCCGCTCATCCGCTTCTAGCCCACTGCTGCTTTTATTTTGTTGCCTTCAGTTGTACCACTGTATTGACTGTGAGCTCCAGTGTCCATCTGCCTCTGGATTTTATCTGTATATCCAATCCACTTGCTCTTTCTAAATGTTTCTCCCATTTTCTGGTCTATTTTTAATTTTCCTGCCCAGCCAAGTCTCATCTTCCTCTGTGGTGTTCAGCTCTCTCTCTCTGTCCCCTACAGGAGAGGCTTGCATTTGGATCACGCTGTTCCAGTGCATGAGCCTGGGAGCAGAGCCTCTGTGAGCACCAGGGAGAAAATACTTCACTTTTAGTTCAAGAACCCCACAAACTCAGCAGCACCCCAAAAACCAGAGCAGGAGCACGACTCAGGGCCTTTTGAAATAGTGGCTGTCAAACTTAGCACTGGTTTCACATAAACTATTACTTCAAAGACAATAATAAAAGTGCTTCCAGCCCCCTGCCAAACACAATTTTCTGCTTCTTACACTGCTTCTATTTTTTCTTTAGACTTCTTATATTGCACTTCCTACACAGTAGGTCTTAAAAAAGCATTACCACTTCTAATAACAGAATGGACTTCTAAAAACTTTAGCAGGTGTTGAACATCACGCTCATTCTTTACCTAGGTACATCTTTTAAGATACTATTTTCAATTAAATTTTCTCAAACAAGTCATCCTGAGTCAGCATAGAAGTTTTCAGCTTGATTTGCTAGTATCACTGATGTTTATAAATGAAATAAATAAATGCCCATGCCCACTCTTTATTTAAAGCTGAACTCTGTGAGAAACCTGAAACACATGTATCCCAGCACAGGTGCACTGGACTTACTGGGACACAGCTATGAGTACATATTGCTCTGACTGCAAGTATTTTCTTAATTGTAAGTTTCTGCCATTTCTTTCTAAATTGTGAAGATTTTTTCAGACATACAAAATTGTCAATTTTCCCTGGAATCAAGTCGTGCCATTTGTAATCTAGTAAAAAACCTAAATATCTTCTCTGAAAAGCCGTGTAAACCAATTCTCATGCTGCAAATTCCCACACCCAATTCCTCAGCACTTCACTGATACGAAAATACACGTGGTATATTTTATAACAGCCATTTTAGTAGTTCAAAGTCCATATAACTCTCCTGTTATCTCTAGAAATCAGAACTGCTGAGATGTTTTCTCCTTCTCAATCTTATTTCTACAGACTTACCTTGGGATCAGTGCTATCTTGCTTGCCCATCCTTTAGGCTTCTTTTTTGTTAGTCCTATATTTCCAGTGCCTAAGCTGTCACCTCAACAGCAGTGCAGCCAGCTCATTTCTCAGATGCTCATCAGGAACAGTGCATCAGACGTCCTGCTTTTCATGGCCTAAGTAAGTGAAATGCATACATGTCAAAGTCTGACTGCATTAATTTATGTATAACCTTGCACTATTTTCAAAGTACAAAAATGTCATACCAAAAAGCATTCTTAAAGGAAGATAATATGCTTAACAGAAACCCTTATCAAAATAGCAATGGCTTTGTTTCTGTTGTTTCCATGGGGGGCCTGTAGAGGCATAAAGATCCACATATTCACTTCTTTTGTTCTGTTAGATCATACCTCATATCCAGTAAGTACACTGAAGTGGGTTTTTTTTTCCATCCGTTGCATTTAATCAGGCAGAATCTACCAGAAAAAGCCAAAACTATCTCATGCACTAATCTGTTTTAGAGGGATCTCCCAGTTTCATCGTTTCATCATCTCCAAGCACACTGAAGACATTAAGTTTTGTAAGACTATGTACAAACCTTTACCTTTGCCTCAGTGTCCTAGCAGACCTTCAAGAACTGATAATGCAGCAAAGAGAGGAACAAGGAATGAAACTGGTAAAGACTACTTCTAGATTCCTCCCCAGTCCATATCATCATCAACAAATCAGCCTGCCTTTAGGCTATTTTACCTCTATCTTCCAACATAATTAAAGAAGCCTCATAAGTTAGTCAAACACCAAAGGCTGGCAGCAGATACATTAAACACACTCATCAGATGATGACCATTTCAGCCTCTGCTTTAGCATGGTGTGGAAAGGCACTGTGGCACTTATAGCACAAAACATAAATCTTGTTTTACCATGCAAATTCTGGACTACAACAGATCAGAATTTTCTGCCTTGGTCTTCCCCTTCTACATACACTGTGTAAAGGCAAACCCATGGAATGAGCTTAAGTCATGCTTTTTGGTTTATTACACAGTATGCAAATATGCAATGATTTTTCCAGATTATTCCTTCCTGCTGCCCACTGCACACTGATGTTAGAAACTGATCTGCCAACAAAGGACAACATTACTTCCCTCATCAAAAATACAATTATTTTTTGGTTCAAGGATGAGTTTAGTTCAGTTGGTTAGAATATGGTGCTAATAACACTGAGGTCATGGGTTTGATCCCTGTATGGGCCACTCACTGAAGAGTTGGACTCGATGATCCTTGTGGGTCACTTCCAACTCAGTGGAGTCATATAAATGTCCATCATCTACTGGTTCACATGACAGATGTGCTACAACATGAGGCAAGAAGGAGGACAGTTTTGAATATTGAATTATATACACACAAAATGCTTTGTGGTCTTTTGATGGTTTTTAAGCAGATCATCCAGAAGTTGCAAGAAGTAGTTAATGATATCTGAGTATGGCTCAAAATCATTCAAAATTGTTATGACGTTGTATTTACATGAAGAATTATTTGAAGTCAGCAGGACAGTCTGCAGAACTTATTCTATGAGAAAAATTGACTTTTTACAAGTTTTTATTAGAGTTTGTAAGTTTACAGGAATGTAGTGGGGTAGGTTTCCTCAACTTGATGGTCACAGTCACAAATATCGAACCATAATTATCCTGAAATGTATTCTGAAATACCTTTGAAGTCAGTGCAGACCCAAGGAACAAAATGCAATGGTACAGTTTAATCTTGTTATAATCATGAATAGCTTCTGTCCTTCTAGCAATGGTGCCAAGGAAACCAACTTCCTAAAGTAGGACATCACAGTCCAGAATAGGGAAATAACGTTTCAGATGCTGTCTGTAGTCTCTTACTCAATTTTCTTAACAGAGGCAGGAAAATTAGTGAAGGCACGCCAAGAGGACTCAGTGTAGGTGTGTTTGGCAGCTTTAAGATGTAGTAACCTCCTTCTCTTAAGAATAAATCCTTCACAGTGATAGAGAAGCCCAATGTATTTTTGCAGGGCAACAATCATAGATTCAAAGAATCATTTCAGTTGGAAAAGACCTCTAAAATCAACCAGCCATTAACCCAGCACTGCCAAGGCCACCACTAAGCAATGTACTTAAGTGCCACATCTACACATCTTTTGAAAATCTCTAGGGATGGTAACTTAACCACTTCACTGAGCAGCCTTGTTCCAATGCTTGGCAACCCTTTCTGTGAAGAAACTTTCCCTAATATCCAATCTACTGGCACAACTTGAGGACATTTCCTCTTGTCCTATCTTGCTGCTCAGGACAAGAAATGAACACCCACTTCACTATAACCTTCTTTCAGGTAGTGGGGAGAAGGACAAGAAAGATGCAGAATCAAAGGATAACTACTTCAGTGGCCCTTACCTCAACATTCAGTGACTCCTTAGATAGTATGTGTATCTAAACAGAAACACCTTAAAAATTTTTCAAGTTTCTAGGGAGTCTTCCTTGACCAATAGCACAATTCCTACTTCTAAGAATAAGTAGTCTTGAAGGTTTTGTACAATAGTCGCAGGCAACACTGCCTGTCGTCAGTTTGTTCTGTCATCCCTTGTATCCCTCAGAGTGATTAATACATTTTTCAAAAGCATCATTTTTCAGAGTACCCCTAAAAAATTTGAACTCTGTCTGCCTTTTAAGCTCCCTGGACTGAGTTAAATGACAAGCATATGGATTCTTCAGTGACACTTTCTCCAGATGTGACCCTGCAGCTCTCAAAACCTCATTTTAAAACAGTTTTCAAAATCTCTATTTTCCTTTCCCACTTTTTTTTTTTTTTTCCATACTAGACACAGTATATGTGGGGTTGGTACTGGGGCTGATACTGTTCAAAATCTTTGTCGGTGACATGTGGAGTTGACTGCACCCTCAGCAAGTTTGCTGATGGCAACAAGCTGTGTGGTGCAGTTGACATGCTGGAGGGCAAGGAGGCCATCCAGAGGGACCCAGACAGGCTTGAAAGGTGGGCTGCGGCAAACCTCATTAAGTTCAACAAAACAAAGTGCTATACGTGGGTTGTGGCAACCCTAGGCACATCTGGTTGAGGGGAGAAGTGATTGAGAACAGTCCTGTGAAGAAAGATATGGGGGGTGGTCAACAAAAAGCTCAGCATAAGCCAGCAACATGTGCTCACAGCCCAGAAAGCCAACCAAATTCTGGCCTGCATCAAAAGCAGTACAGCCAGCAGGCTGAAGGAGGTAATTCTTCCTCTCTACTCTGCTCTCATTAAAACCCACATGGAATGCTGTGTCCAGTTCTGGTGTCCCCAACATAAGAAGGACATGGAACTGTTAAATCAAGTCCAGAGGAGGGCCATGAGGCTATTAAGAGGACTGGAACACCACCCCTATATGAGCAAGTTGGGACTGTTTCAGCCTAGAGAGGAGAAGATTACCTGGAGACCTCACAGGTATCTAAAGGGGATCTACAGGGAAGTTGGAGAGGGACTCTTTGTCAAGAACTGTGGAGATAAGACAAGGAGTAATGGGTACTAAATGAAAGGGGAAATTTAGGTTAGGTATTAGGAAGAAATTTTTTACTATGAGGGTGTTGAGAACAAGTTGCACACACACGTGATTGCAACTGGAAGAAGTTGCACGGACATGTTGTGATTGCCACAACCCTGGAAGCGTTCAAAGCCTGTTTGGATAAGGCCTTGAGCAACTTGGTCTTGTAGGAGGTGTTAGGACTAGATGATCTTTAAGGTCAATTCCAAACCCTTAACATTCTGATTCTATGATCTCTTTCTCACAGGCACTATAGAGAAGATAGAAATGGAAAGAGGTTTGTGTTAGTATTCATTCTCAAAGACCTGTCAAAGCAAATGCTTTGAACTTTAGAAGAAAGGAGACAAACAAAAATCTTTCTGCTTTAGACTGAAAAAAAGGAAGTTATCCACATGAGTTCTTCAGTTTGAACTAACCAAAAATTATTTACCTAAAAATCAAGGGCTAAACAGTGATGAACGTACAGAGATTACTGTGCTTCTTTAAGAAAGAAGGAAGTCTGCCTTTAGTGACCATGGCTGGAGGCAAGAGGAAAACCTGAACTTACTAGGGCGTCTGTAAAACACACTAAGCACACATATTTTCAGAGTAGAATACAAGACTTAAGGCAACACCAAATGATCCAGCGTAAGAAGATGGGCTGATTCATGATGAATAATACTGTCTGTCATCCATGCCAGTCTTCCAAAGGCTTGAGGCAGCTGAAAGCACATCCACATTCATGTGATACTGTGCCTTTAATAATTGCTGATTGCTCTGTAGGCAAGTCACACACACTTGACTTTTAGTTTTCACAGCCTAATCAAGCAATTGTGGGATCTGGACCTGAGGGTTCCCCTCAGGCACAGCTTGATGGCAAAGCCATGGCACAAGAGGCAAATGACCATATATGGATTCACCCTATGAGCTGTACCTGGCCAGTAGGGCATGCATGGCATTGACCACACCCTGCTGAAAGCAGCAGGCAGACAATCACAGGCATAAGTAAAATTGAGGTGTTGGTGTCAGCTAGGCAGAGCACTGTTATGATTATTATTGCTTTCAGGTTGTGTTTTGAGGAGCTAGCCCATAATAAAGGACAGAAGTATACCAAAACATACATCTTCAAACATTAACTTGGCTGTGTGTTGATGGCTGCTCTAATTTCACCTTTAGGTGCCTAGATTTCTAAAAGGAATGAAAAGTAAATTTAAGCTTACTTCTATTCAGGAAATTCAGGAGTTTGTTACCTTATATGAAACCATTTTAAGTATTTTTCCTTTCTGAGGAAAAACTGAGCAGCCTAGGAGAGGAAACAAGTTTGGTTGCATCCTTGGTTCAAATTGGTATGACTGATTATTTTTTAAAAATCTATTATATGATCAAATAGACCTTCAGTTTAAGAAAACACACTAAAATACTGATATTTGTTTCCTTGACTACTTGAGACTTAAGACAAAAAAGGACCTGTTCTTGTAAAGATTAGTAGAGTTACTGCTCACTGTCCTGAAAGCACAAATCCTCTATAGAATGAGTATGCTGTAATTAGAAAACTACAAATCAGAATACATCTCAAAAAATCAAATTCCACTATTAAAATCTCTAGTAAAACAGTACAACTAGATTAGAGAACTTCAAACATTGTATCTTTAAAAGGCAAAGTGTTTCTAATTTTGGTTACTGAAAATCTAATAATGCACTTTTATTATTCCTGTAAGTCAATCACAGAGGCTGATAATCAGCATAGAATGTGGTCCAAGGAATTTGAGTTAAAGAGTTTTGATTGCTGAATTTGTTATTGAAATAACTGGTCTTTACAAATTAGCAATTCTGACCTCACTTTAATTTGAGACCACCTGAAAAAAGGTAAAACAGAAATCCTAAAATGATTTGTGATTGGACTAGTTATCACTGACAAATCCAAGACATTCACAAATAAACTGCACAACATAAAAAGGGGAGAAAGGAACGCATTGAAATGTATGTACCAGAACCTGTCTCAGGGCTCAAAATAATGAGAAAGAAAAATACCTTTTACGCTGTTTGTTAGCATAAAAGCTAGTAAGAAAGTAGGCAGACTCAGTATCTATTTCTTTGACTCAAATGGACTCCAGTAACTAAGCTGGAGTACTTAAAGCACTTTGGGCATCTCTGCACTGCATGTATGGACTTAAGGAAAAAACACTACCATATTGGACACCAAATCCAGCACAATTTCTTCCTGAAGCTTTGTGCTTTCATAGAAATTTAAGGCACTTTGATATTCACACTCTGGGTTTGATGTGTCCAAAGTATAAACAGTTTTTGCCTGTTATCCATACCTTTCCTTCTCATATCATACCATATTTAACAATAATAGTTTTGAATTATTTTTACAAGTTAAATTTAAACAATTAAAAGCTGTCTTTGTTGTCCCTGTATTTTTACATTACATATTTGGAAATACAGAGGTTTGTCTGAAGTAGACTTTTCTCTTTTCAACCACAAGTTTCTCCAATTTCTTAAAAGTAGAAAAAATATTACAGGATACACAGATGCAACCCTTTGTGATTATCTGATTTAAAAAGCACTGCAGTTACCAGCTAGCAATCATGAAAGCAAATGATTTTGATAGTTTACTTTAAGCAAAGTAGTTCTTACTTAATAATTATGCAATTAGAAATAAAATTAGGTTTTTTTAAATCCCAGGAATTAAAAGAAACCGAAAGCAATTTTCATATTCTACAAGTTGAAGCATCAAAAGGAAACATCCAGCATAAAGCATCAGGCCTCAGAAAGGGGCATTTGACACTTCACAAAAATTTACTTTGTCTCCCTCCTGATTTCACATTTTTTCTCCTGGTAATGGTGACATATCACTTTAAAGAAAACTATTTTTTCCCTTCAGTAGTGGAAAAAGTTATTTACTACCTGTAGGGCTTTAAGAGAAGAAAGAGCAATGATTTTTAAGTCCTTAGAAGTGACTAAAAAGTCATGAACACTAAATACAGGAGTATTTAAAACATACTTATTAACAACTAATCAGTTCACTTACAAATGCAATAGCAATTAAAATAGACTGTTAAAGTACACTATACATCAACATCAAATTCTCTAATACAAAAAGCATGAACTAGGAAGTTTAATAAGACCACCAGAAAAACCCTATTTGAAATTTCCTCATACACATCAAATATATTGTTACCTATATACAAACATTTAAATACTTATTTATGAGTTAGTTTCTTATGAATTACCACTTACCTTTTTTTCCCTCATATTATCACTTTACATTTCAAGTAGCCTTCAGCCACCGATCAAGGTTTCCATCCAACACACAATCAGATAAACCTTGTTCCCCAGTTCTAACTAAAGGAAACAGTACTATGAAGCAGTGTCAACAGATTCCCGTGTACTAAACTGATAACTGGATTTGGTTGGTTGCTTTTGGTTTGGTTTTTTTCCAGGCAAGGGACTTGAAGAGATAATTAAGAGATGAATCAAAAATTCTTGCCACGATGTTTTTACTCTAGTTATGCTGAAAACCTTGTGTCACCTTATGATCAGGAACTTGTGACTTGATCTGCCTTTATTTATGTATCACTGTAAGGAAATCATTAGCATTCATGATGTCACTGCTTGAATTTTCAGCAGCAGTTCAGAATAAAAGCATACCGAAACCATTTTTCAGATTCACTGTGACTTACTGTGTATGTGTATTGCCACCTAGAGAGTCAAGGTTATAACTGTAGCCATGGAAATAATTAAACCAGCCCAGGCGTACTAATTATTATGAAATGTTTCTTTGAGCATAAGTTTTGCTGCAGCAAACAGTGAGTCTCTGCAGTCTAACACCTCTTACTGCAGCAGTTGTGAGATGCTTTCACAAAAGTGTACATGAATTCCCCACAATGAATCTGCTGTAACCAGAACATGCTGGCAAATTCTGGACATTAATTATCTTTGTTGTCACCTGGAAAGACACATGTACGTTCACACTCTTTATCTTCATGAAGCACCCTGTGGACTTTTCAATAACCTATATACATAAGCATGTGCTTTTTTATTGTCCACTAAATTCTTGGCCTTGCCAACAGGAAAAAACATCATCCAGTAACTGTCAAAACAATGAGAAACCTAATAAATTTACTGTTGATACTCATATTCAAATTAGTGTACTGTTGCTGTGCTGGAGCTAATGCTGCAAATAATGTTTCTTGTCATTGATCTGCTGGCCAACTATACTTTCACCCATAGGCTGCACTACCTCATCATCATCTACCTTCCATTACCCAATTTTTTTCCTCTTTTCTTTCTACCACTGTCTACTTACCCAACACATGGTTACCGGTGCAGCCTGTTTTCCATAGCAGTTCTTCACCTTCCTGATTTGGACTGAGCTTTAAGCTTCTCCCAGAGGCTTATCTATCTTGGGAACCATAGCTATAAAGCAGGCCTTCAATAAACACAAATCAGACAGTGTAAAACAGGCCTCACGTTTAGAATGATGCAGAAAATTAACAAAGACGTGTACTACTTTGCTGTTTAAATCTGCTCTGAAACATATTGAACTCAAGCATACTGAACTCAAGCATTTGACTTACTATTATACGTTTACTTGCAGATGCAAGACACCACCTGGGTGGTGTCTAGATACAGTTACCCTTTACACTTGTGATGCTGAGTTTTCCTTTTAGACAGAAATGTTTTAAAAAATAGCAAACTCCCAGGTACCTGAAGAGAATATAAACAATTTTTTTCCTGAGATTCAAAACCATCAAATTAAGATTGTCAGTTAGTATGTAGCTAATGAATTGTCTTGGGACTTGTTTTGGCAAATTAAAACATCTTAAGCTTACATATAGTTTTTATACAGCTTTTGAACAAAAGGTCTCTAGAAAAATGGAGTCAAAAGTCAAGACCAGCATTTTGATAGTTCACAGTGACACATGGCATCTGGAGACACCAGACACTGCGAAATGTAATTTCTCAATCACACCTTTTGTCAGCTCTAAAGCAAAGTTTATGTAACCTATCATCAGTCCCCATTACCTTTCCCAGCTTTTTGCATAACCCGAACTCTCAGAGTAATTTCAAAAAGTTTTCCAAGGCTTTTAAATTTACCTCTATTTGCAAACAGATGAATGGAAAAAATTAATCAGCTTGGCAAATGCTCTAAAAGTAGCTGTAACATTCCAGCCCATTACAGAGTCCACAACTGGAACAAACTAAGACGAAAGTGCTTGCCTACAGCATAATTGCAAATGAAGTAAACGTACAGCCTACAACACATTGCAAGCTTAATTTGTTTTAAAGGACTTATTTATTTTGTTATGGAATAGATCAAATATGTATTTCAAAGACACTAACATCTCCTGTCCCATGAGTACACTGGAAAGACAGATTTTAACACTAAAATGCAGTCTATTGCTAGGACATACTTATTGTGTATGAACCACCAAGCAGATTTTAAGTGACTAAAGTGTGATGCAAAGATACTAGCTAATAATGCAAAATACTGGATCCTGAGAACACTGGATGGTGTGAAATATTATAAACCCCACAAACATAGGAACACACATATTAGCAAGGGTAAAAAAAAAATCCTAGGTAATGTAACCAAATCAAACACCTCAACAAATTAATAAATCTATTTCTTCATTAATTTATTTTGGTTAGAGTAAACATGAAATAGTTGCATTTTTGCCAGAAAAGGTTTTTAAAAAGATTTTTCAAGTACCTCCTAAGACAAGTTGATGTATTTGGACTTAAAATGTTAAAAATGTCTTGAGAAAAATACATGTTGTCCAAATACGTATCCAGCTAATCTAACAGAAAGTTGAAGCATAACCAAACAAGCATGAAATGCTTGAGTCACTAAGCCTCGTCCTTTCTTCAGCAGGCATTCAGAAACCCTAACAAGCTAAATGAATATGCAATAAACAAATACAGATACCTAAACAGCACAAATACTGGAAAAAAGTTTCCAAATGTTTACCAAGAAAGCTAATGAGCTGACTATTTTAAGCAAATAGACCTAATAAATCAACAAAGTTACAGAAGCAACAATTTTAAGAAATAAAGTCAAGAACTTCACACAGTAATAGTCCCAAAGTTTTCAAATACATGCAGGTAAAACTTTATTGTCCTTTAGCAAATACATTATTAAAAAAAACGAAATTCAAAAGTTGCCTTCTTTAATGATGATTCCAGAAAAATACAATGTTTTCTATCCTTAAAGACAATACATATTTGCAAAATGTAACAGTCTTCCCATAAAACTTCAGTCTATTATTTCTAATTATACTTCAATTTGTAAATAAACTGCAAATCACAAGCATTAAGTTTGTATTTCACAGCAAAAAACACTAATTCAATGAACTTTGGTAAAAAATTTCTGCAAAAATTCACAGTCTCTGCAAAAACTACACCTCAGTCAGTACAGTCTGAAAAACTATATGCGGTAATTTAATATTGCATTAACTTTTTTTGACACATCTGCACAAACCTCCTGTTTGGACGCTACCAACTGGTTCAGAGCTAATGTCACAAAGACTAAGAATAACAGTCTGAGAATGGATCGAAACCCTAAAAGCTGGGTGTCAACTATTATGTGTAATGTGAAAAAAAGAAAGGGAAAAAACTTTTCCACAATGAGAATGTGAAAAACTTTCAGAAGAATGGCAACTTACAAAAGAAAATATCCCCTTTTCATTCCCCCTCTCTGCCACACAAATTTTTAGTTCGCATAGAAAAGGGAATGTTTTGTCTGGTCTTGACAGACTCTTATTTTTTGGTTTAGCTATTACACAGAAAAAAATCACATCAAAAATCACTACAGATTATGTGCTTTATGATAAATTCATATGTTAAATATTTCACTTTCAGGTACCACAGTTACATCTTTTTGTTCAGGACAGACAAAATGATTTTCCATTTCCCTTTGATATGTAACATATCCACCTGTTTTTTTTAATTGCACCCTTAAGTTCTAATTTTCTGTATTTCTCTTTTAGTCTTCTTCCATGTTTTCAAGTATTCTCGTTAGGCATCATAGCCTCCTCCATACTGCACACCTCCAGAGAGCTTACTATAAAGTACCCAATACCGATTATCCCATTCACTTAGGCAACTCAGACTTGCTTTTGCAGACTGCCACAACAGTTTCTTCAAGATGGCATAAGCATGCTTATTATTCAGCCAAGTAACAAAACCTGAATCCCACTGGAAACAAGTTTCCAGCAAGTAAATGTACAACTATGAAACAACTGATCAGGTTTCCATTTCAGTCTCTGTGGTATCAGTCTTCGAAGGAGTTCTAGTGTTTGATGGAGTCTCCCCAACTAGGTTCTGAATATCAGACAAATCAATAGTAGGCAGTGGTGCTCTCCAATACAGGAACGAGTTATACGGACAGAATTCTTCTTGCTTTGAAAAGAGACAAACAGAAAAAGAGGCAACAAAACATTAATTTGTATCCCAGCAGTAAAAAGAAACTTTTTATGCAAGAAACTAAAACAAGGAGGACTTATTCAGCTGTTCTATATTAACAGTTCTTAAAATTTTATGATTTTGAAGTTAATCACAATTTATTCTGCCTTTTTAAATACTCTTGCAAAGAACTATCACACAACCTCTGTGAAATACATTCATAACTGCACCAACTTCTTCAACTTACAACCTTTGCACAGAAAAATACTGTAAAACTTGTGCAATTATTGAACTTTGCATAAAAAACCTGCTCACTGCTTTTTCCTCTCCTAACAGTATGCAAATTTCATGCACATTTAAAACATTCAGAAGATTGTATTTACCTACTTTACATCAACTCAGATGATGATAATTGCAAGATAAATAAGGCATTGCATAGTTTTTAAAGCACATTTTGTTTCTTCTTTTCTGTGCCTAAATTTAATATTCAAGAGAGGAAAGTTTAAGAACTGGAAAGCAGTATCAGAAAACTCTTGGAGCAACATGTACTTATCTACTATTTTAATATGGAATTACATAAAAAAAAATTGTTTTAAACGTCTATTAGAAAACACACTACCTGTTTATAACCATGTCATTGTTATAAACAGTGGCCAATCTGTGCGTGTTTCTATGGACACAATACAGAGAAGAAGAGGAATTCTTAAGTCGTTCCTTAGGTCTTGAACATGTATTTCCTTCTGGTATTTAAAAACAGTAAATACTGTCACAATCTAAAATAATTCATTTCCACATAATATCTGTTTGCATTTTTCTAACATACAATTAGAATTTTTAAATATTTTACTTTACTGTCTCAGCTGTAACAGGTGGTAACAAATAAGCTGGTATAACTGTTTTGGTATTTCTCAGACCACAGTGTGGCCTGCGGGGGTGGTGTATGCACCACCACCATCAACTTTTCTGGGCCTCTACAGTATGGCTCTTGAAAAAATTCATGATTTGTCTGGTTTTGCCACAGAATAAAAAAATGTAACACTCAAACAATAGCAGTATCACCCCCCTCTAACGTACTGAAAAATTATGCTTCTTCCCACTTCCCAAAAGAGAGACAGACCCATGTAAATTCACCATACTGCCCATTTAAAGAAAACATTTTTCTATTTTTTACCACACAGACTTCTCCTGAACTGTATACAATCTGTTGTACTAGGTAACCTGTTTCTACTGCAAAACCCTGCATTATTCAAGACCTATAACAATTAAGAGAAGATGAAAGGTGCACATGTTTCATCACAGCAAGTTGGCTCTGTGCCTGTAGGATACTACTAATGTGAATTTGCTCACTGGGAAAAGACTGTCTTCAGAAAATAACAAAGAACAAAAATTCCCATTAATGAGAATTGAGACCAAAACCAATTAAATTACATAGTGCCAGTGTACTGCACAGCATTAAAAACAATCAACAACGTGTGGCAGGGATGGTTTTCCAGTCTGTATTTCAAACTAGGCAGCCTCACTCACACAGAACTGTGCAAGGCAGGTGGCAAACAAAGTCTTTGAAAAAAATCTCTGGCAGTGGAGTTTCAGAAACTGTCAACTAACTACCTTTACAAATACTCCCATATGTTTAATCTGAACTCCCTTTACATTTTAATAAGTTTCTGCTTATGCTGAGAGCTAAGTACTTAGAAACAGAATCCTGTACTTTGTATACACAGAGTAAATGACTGCATGCTTGTTTCAAAGCAATCAGAATCTAAAACTTCATAAACACAAAAATATGCATACTCTTAATTGTGGACTCAGACTACATGCTTGATTAATCTCAAAACATTTCACATCTACAGAGCAGCAGTATTTCAGTGTATTAGTAACTCCCAAATTCAGTGAGAAAATGAAAAAACCCATCAAGCACAAAAGACAGGCACAAACGCTGAACATTCACACCTAAAAGGCAAAATAAAGAATCAAATATTCACCTTCAGCTAAATAGGTTTCAACACACGTTTTGAGAATAAATTCTATCAAGATAGGCAACATGTAGCAAGCTCAGAGATACGAATGCTCTGTTTCTATGGACTAAGTTGTTTAATTTTTAAGGAGTTAGTGTTCCAACTCTAGTTGCAAAAGTGGGCTTCCAAATAAAATTAAAATAATATTTCTTCTCTGGCCAACTGTAATATAATTGGAATTGCTTTAAACTTCAACAGTGTGAAATTAACAGTATCCTGATCAAGCTTATGAATATAAGTAATGAAATACACAAGCCACAAACAGCAAAGAATAATCCCAACCTAGAGACTGTATTTTCAGAAAGGTCTAAAAATCATCATCAGAAATATCTCTATAAAAGACTTAAAATATATGGGCAGGAAAAAACTGGAAGAAACATTCTTGCCTCAGGTGCTAACCAAGCTTTATTTTAAAACTAGAACACTTTTTATACAACACTGTACTTAGAGAAACAACCTGTTAAAAATACAGTCCTACAAAAATATTTTATATAGAGTAATACTCTTTAGTGTGTGGACATTCAAGGGGCTTCTGATCTTCCTATCACTGCTAAAGCTTACAAAACTATGCCAAATAACCCTAGGGATAAGTAAAGAATCCAGCGTTATATTTGTGATGGAGTTAAACTACTCTTTAGAGGTTTGCTCAATTTGTTTAATTGCTATGCTTCCAAACACACTTGTTCCCTCTTCAAAAGAGATTCTTGTTTAAATGGCACAGCCTAAAAAGGCTGTATAATTTTCATAGGACATAGAATTTTTCTTCAGATTTTCCTTTTTGCCTGAATTCTACCATCCGTCACCAAAAAACCCCACTAACCAACCAACCAAGTAATAAAGAAAACGTGAAAAGTCAGAGCAAGAGAAAGAACAGCCACCATTTTCTTTACAGATGGATTTACAGATGAGTGTTATACTGTGAAAGGCCCCAACACCTCAAAACCAGTCTACAATTGTAATTCAAAGTAATTCAATTGTAATTCAAAGATTAGACTTTCTGCTACTTCCATATCACTTGATCTAATATTCTGGTCTTACTTAAAAGGTCCAGGTGGGACACAAATTGAGTTTATATACATCAAACTTCTAGAGAGGTGTGAAATTTGACTTAGCATTTTATTTTTGGAAAATTAAAACTTTCTTGGTACGAAATTTCGTTTTCTGAACTACTGTGTAAAGCACGGTCAAACCAGAAAGAAGAACGCATGCTGTTCAAAGTCAATCAGAAAAGTAATTTCAATATACCCTGATCATTAAATCACTGATGCTCTTTCTATGACCACCAACTCCAAAGATGTTTTGGTTAAAAGACAGCTTTGGTATTGGTAATAAATGGCAAAACACGAAGTTCAAGAAGTTGATGCTGTAAGTGAGCCTGACCCTCGCCCTCACACAACAGACATGCTACTACAATAACCTCTCCAAGCTTCCACCACGCTGTTGGGAAAAGGATGAGGCAGAGTATAGACTCAAGTGAGGTGAACTCCTGGCAGGTTGTTTTCCATCAGTTTTTCCATGGCGGAGGGAGGGGGAAGGAAGGGGAGTGGAGTTGAGAAAGCTGGATGCTACTTCTTGTTTTGAAAACGGAAAAAAGGAAAGAAAAAAAAAAAGTTTTAAACAGCCCACGGCGGATTAACCCCGGAAGGCACAGAAGGGGCCGCGTGGCACCGAGCGCTCTACGGTGCCTGGCTAAGGCCGCCAGCACCCCGCGGTATCGCTTCAGCTGCTACCGGCACCGCCCGCCCATTTCCCTCCCCGGAGGCGAGGGGCCCGGCCCGCCCCGCTCCGTTACCTCGGCGGCGGCGGAGGTCCGCTCTTTGCCCCGGCCCCCGGCGCATCCTTCCGCCGCCCGCTCGTCCTGGGGCACCGCGGGCTCGCCGCGCCGCCGCCACCCGCCCTCCCCATCCCCCGGCGGCGCACGGGTGGCGCTGGGCCCGGGCCGCTTTCCCGGCGGCGCCTCCGCCTCTTCCAGCGGCCGCTTCGGGGCGGCCGGGCCGGCGCGCGCCGGTTCGCTCCGAGGCCGCCGCTCGGCCGCGCGCGGCAGCGGCGGCACGCGCAGGAGCCGCTTGACAGGCACGTGACACATCAACGGCTCCGCGCGCCGCTTGGGCATGAGGGGCCGCGCGCCGGCGGCTCCGCGGAGCTCGCGATCTCCGCCGGCAGATGCACCGCGCCCGCGCACGGACCGCGCATGCGCGCCACGCCCGCCGCCGCCGGGAGCTGGGGAGGGCTCTCGCCGCACTTCCTCACGGGATGAGGGAGCGGGAAGCGCTGCAGCCGTGAAAGTCACTCAGCAGTAAAGCAGCGTCAAACACGAGCGAGATCAAGGCGTGCCCAAGCTTTAATATCCAAAAAGCCCCAGGTCCATTACACACACTGTAAAATAGCGGGAAGTGGACGCAGAGACGTGAAACTTTTCATCCTTATCTTCGCAACCGATTTCAGAATGTACCACGTAAAAAACCCAAACAAATAAAGGAACAAAAAAACCCAGGCCGTCAAACTCCATATAAAGAAGCTTTACACTTAAGGTTATGCAGCATTTTATTTTACATCTGTTACTATGTACAGTTTAATAACGACCTAAAGTAAACAGTCTCATCTTCAACATTCTCCCCCACGTATACAACCGAATAGAACAGTGATCACATTCTATAATACACAACGACCCTCATAACAGTACAAGTGGTGAATTCTAGGAACTCATAAATAGGTAGGTAAAACACTACTAACACAGCTCATTCACAAGATTATTTTACTTCCAACTCTTAATGTGACTGTTGCGATTTAAAAGAATATTGTGCGGGGAAGACGGCATTTTCTAGATCAGAAATAAAAGCACACCACCATATTATACCTGATGTAAGCAAATAAAAACATGTTCAGAAAATACATAAAAATGGCAACTGTGACAACATGGGGTGGCAAGGAACAAAACTACCAGAACAAAGGATAATGACATTCAACCAGAAAGAAAGAGTCCCATTGCCTATTCGTGAAAAGCAGGAACACCACATTCCAAGTTACAGACGGGATAGGAGGCAGAAATTGGGTAACATTACAGATAGATATACTACTCAGTAATAGCACAATTTACATTCACTTAAGCTATGTCTGATTCCAAGGAGCTTGAAAATTAAGTAAAATGCTAATCATATTCTGGTAGAAAAAAAGCAGATTTAAAGCAAAGAATCATAAATTCCCTCAAAAATTAAAGTAAATGGTACAATACAGAAATTAAAGCAAGTGGCTTTTTTATCTTTAAGTGTGCAAGGGTTTTTAATTTTATGTTGCAATAGCATTGTTTCTTCTTGAAACACATCTCTCTTGGAGCAGGGTAGACCTTTGATACCTCATTTGTGGAACTGAGTCATGGTGGTGCACTTTTAGAAAGAAGAGTTCAAATAAGACTAGTTTAAGCCATGGTATACTTAAAAACTGCTGTTGACCAGAAACCTCTATTTCAATAAGGATTCTGAATGGAAAAGGGCAAAGTACTGAAAGATATACAGATGCGTGCTTTCTTATGTGGTGTTCAAACTATAAAAAAAAAGTTGGTGTTTTTCTTCCTTGCAGATTTTCAATTTAGGAATAAAGGCACAAATTTCTGGCCTTAATTGGAAAAATCCCAAAGCCGTAACAAATCTATTAAAGGGAGGTGATTAGGACACCACCATGAAAGACAGGACTAAAAATAATGGGAAATAAACAAAATATTGGCCAGTGTCATTAAGGCCAAATATGAAAAAAACTTGAGCCCTCATAATGCTTTTATATTTTAAAGACCATTTTGAAAATGTGTGAAAATGATACTTAAGGTAATTAATATATTAAGAAAACAAAATGCTTGACATGACACCTCCACTCAGAATAGTGATTATTAATTAATGTTGTTCTCATGTACATCATAACTTCCAAGTGACAGGAGATTCAGCCTCTTGTATAGTATCGTGACTTGTACATTAAATATTCACCTAAGCCACATCTGCTAGGAAAAAACCACATTAGTATAAGGAACAAGCCAAGAAGTCATAAGGATAAAGTGTCTGAAGTTATCCTGCATATCCTGACTCATGCAGAGGTGATTAGGTTATAGGACATATTTACACGTAACTTTGTGAGAAATCTCTCGTTATTTAATTTAGAAAGATTCAATTACCTATGAAACAAAGGAACTGTATCATCAAGGAAAGGTTTATTCAGCATGAGCCGGTCTCATCTCACACCAAGGTCCCGGGGAGAAAAGACCCCTTGGGTTTAAATTTCATGTATTTTATGGTTTTACAAAATCCCATCCTTTTTCTGATAAGTTTAATATATTAATTTTTACCTAAAAAGGCTTCCTTTTCTCCGAAAATGGGCTTTCCCTTCTTTCCCATTGGCTGCGAGGCATCCTCTGTCAAAAATGATGGATCTTCCCTTGTTCTTAGCCCAAAGACGAAAAAAGAAACCCCTCTATTCAAAATCTGCCAAATGGCCCAGAAAGATTTTAATTTTTAGGAACTTTATATTTCCCTTATCCCGGCCGCAAAAGAACCCTGGTACCCAGTCCAGTTTGGAACTGCATACCTTACAACTTCACAATGCACCTATAATTTTGTTTTGTAATTAAAAAAATGTATTTTATTTCTCCTAACTTCACTGCCCCGACAGATGTCTTTATGTTGTACTACCTACACATGGCATGGATAACTCAGCTATGTTTATCAACTTTGGAAGTTTTAGCTTAAGCAGTCAGATGACTCAAAATCAATGTATTACAAGATGGCAAAGCATCTAACACATTTCAGTTTCAACACAAAGCTCAATCAAAATTGGTAGTATTCCTCAACTGAGGTTATCATACTGCTTCTCTGTGACACATTGCTTTTTCTTCACTCAGTATTCTGCTTTCACATAGTATTTCAAATTGCCCACAGGCTCTGTGTTTTAATTAAACTGTTAACAGTGGTACAGTCAAAGATTAGCATTTATACAATAATCTACTTCATTTCAGTTCCACAGAAAAAGCTCTACCAGTCTTGATGGCTATTTTATCTGTCAAGAATAATTTTACCACTTTCCAACCATTTCAGACTTCATAATTTAAGTATACATTTAAAAATACTTCTCTAAACATGACACAGTAAGCACCTCCATGCATTCCTAATATCAGATAATAGAAAAAAATCACTATAAATCTATGAAATATTAGGCAGCATATGCAGAGAATTAGCCTACTTATGGCAAACATTTAATTTTGTTCTCAAGAAAACATTTTTGCTTTTATTTCTAATGCACTCCAAAGCACAATGACAGTGTATGTGAACATTACATCCTTCACCTTCACAAGTATATTACAAATATGCATGGCATAGTGTATGTCCCAACAGCAATAGAGATATTAAGAAAATAGACACTATCTATATCCTCTTAGGAATAAGAAGGCACCACTATGTGAGGTTGTGTTCATACATCACCCAGACCATTTTACCCTCATTTCTAGCTTTCAAGCCAACAGGTTTTTTCTCATTAACTTATTCAGACCACTACTGTTCTGGTTTTCTCACCACAAACAACACGCATTCATAGTAGTATTTCATCATGGAGAGTTCATTCACAGTGTAAGTTGACAGTACAGATTCTTTCTCCACCTAAAAACAAAGCAGCAGTTTTCAAGACAGCTTCTCTACAGAAACTATACAAGAAATTGCTATATTAGATTTCAAGGCCCATCTGTACACCTCTCAAAAACGAGAAAAGCAGATAATTTGTAACACATACTCCTAGATGTTATTAATAAATACCATTATGTTGAACTAAATTTATGGTGGTTTATCAAAGCAGTTTGCTTGGTTTATACCAATACTACTCATTGCAAACTGCACCACGTTCTTACCTCTATATGGAATCCATATTGTAGGATAACATTTTTTATATCCTCATAGCTTAATTCTATAGAAAGTTCATTTCCCAAGTTTTCAAAATGGTAAAGGAGAGGACCTAGAGTACAAATATACAATAGAAATGGCTATCAGAAAGACAAAAATGTTTTAAAAATCAAGAGCACATACTGAAAGTACAACAAATGCTTATATCCAGACTCACATATTCAAAAATGTGGAAGGTTCCCTGCCCACAGCGGGGAGGTTGAAACTAGATGATCTTTGAGGTCCCTTCCAACCCAAATCACTCTATGATTCTATAAATACTGACAAAAGAATGTATTTCTATCACTCAAGTACGATTTTTATAATTAATTTCAGAATCAATGCAAAACTAAAACAAATTACTTCAGCTGCTTATTCAACAATTTGTCACATTCCTCACCAGATTGTGTTTTCTGTATCTTAAAATTTCTTCAGCCCAGCATTACCTCTCTCTCTAAAGCTCAGGAGCTCTGCCTGCACTCTGTGACTGGCCAGGACTGGGATAGTGACTGACTGCCCAGTGACTGACCAGTTTCTACTATGCAAAATATTTAATGCCTGAGTTTTGTCTGACATTCCTTCACCACAGAAGACTTCAGTTAAATCTCTTTTGTTTTGATCCAAGGCACACATAAATCTCATTGCCAAAATGTCTGCTTAGAAGTACAGTACCAACTAGACATTAAAAAAAAAAAGCAAGAGTGTATTTACACATAGAATAAGTTTTACTGTCTTAGAAAAGTAGCAAAAAAGAATACAGAACACTACATTTGTCAAATAACAAATGTTTGATGCACAAATGCTAAACCTGCCACTAGGAAGATTTACTTGCCTATTCAAAAATCACATGGTGTTGACTTGATTGTAACTAGCAAACACCTGAACATATTTTGAACATTTCTGAGATAATTTCCAAGCCCTGTATTTTTCTAGTTGTACAGTTTTCTGCACAGACACACTCATCCACACACACTTTTCAAGTATTAGATGCCTATTATTTGATCAAAAATAAGTCAAAAAGAGAGGCTGGTCACACTTGCCTACATTTATCCATATTCCTCCAGGCTTTAGTATTTTCCATATAGTATCAATGTAATCAATAACATTATGTGCTGTATCTATGAAAAAGCAAGTTGCTACACAGTCCCACGTATCTGCATAAAAAGAGCAAAGTATACAGAGATTAGTTTGAATGCTTTTACCCTGTAAAAGTTCATCATTTAACCCTGGCATTTGTTCACATACTCAGAATTACTTTCAACT